ATATTAAAAGCAAATATAGATGTAACAGGATTAAATAGTCACCAGGACTGCATTTGTAGTAAGGAAATATTACAGTTTTCTGTTATATTCTGTTTTAGCTTTTGCTTTCTGAGCCAGTACCCTTTCCTGGGTCAAATCTGTGCTGATATACAAAATAAGAAATTTATCTGACATTACCATCCTTGTTCAATGAGATGAGAGCCAGGGACCCTGGTGTAGCAAAATATTTGTCTCTTTGAAAGCACGTGAACAGCCTGATTGACCTAAGAAGTGCAGAGTTAAAGAGGCCTCTGCTTGAAACCTCTGGGGATAGGTGTTTTCATACAGCCTACACAGGGACCGACTGGTTGGGGCCTTGAGGTTGCTCTGTTCCATGTTAATGCTTTGCTGTATTCTGTCTTTGTCCCTACTAACATTATTTCTCCAATGGCTTGCAGGTTTTTCTTTACTTTTATGTAATGTATGAACCTTTTACTTTGAGAACACCTCACTGAAGAATCATGTTAAATAATGATCAAAAAATAGCTCATCAGTCTGTGTAGATGTGGCAGGCACTGTAACACTATCTTAACGTGTTACAGGTACAAGTTGAAGAAGAAAATGCTGAAAAACTGACAGCATGTTAAAGATGATTTGTTTATACAAGTGCTAAAGTTATGTTTGATATGTTAATGCAACCTCATTTTCTAGTAAAGGCCAAACACTATTAAGTGGTTATTTGCATTGATTTTTCTATCTTCTGAAATACTTCATTCAAGGTAAACCATCTTTACTCCTTTCCTATAACCGAAACTGGGGCTGTCATTTAACAGTCACTTTCTGGGTGGGCCTCATGGACTTTTATTCTCCAGGTCCATTTCTTGACCCCTCCATCAGTGTCCCTTTTAGCAGGTACTACTTTTTTAATTTGTCTGGCTTTTCCCTGGGGTGTTCCATCACTGGAGAGTCACTGAAAGGGGTCAGCACCCACTGCAGCTTCAACCAGTGCCTCTCACAAACATCTCATTCTGCTGAATCATGTTACCTGATGATCACTAAAAAAGACTCAACAGTAGCCTAATAGTTTACATTTTAAGATGGGAGGGAAGGATATGTTTACTTGCTGTCTATCCTTGCTTTCCTGGCTGAATCTCTCCTTATCCTTTTGGTATGTTACTTGCTTTGCTTTTCATTTTATGTCTTAGCTGCTTGTGATACATCCTGTGCTAGGTACAAAGGTATTTGTTTCCAGCAATCGAGTGTATTTAGAAGAGTTGCATGGTGGAAATACACTTAAAGAGAAGATTGAGTCCCTATTGCTGGGAATGGATGATATTGTACTGACAGCTGTACAGCTGGACACTGATGGTTGAAGGAACATTTGGAGTAAGGTTAATGAGGTTCACTGTCTGTCCTGTACATTATCACCTGAATCAGGCTAGCTAAGGTAAGAGACTTTTTGGGGGAAATCCTTCAGAGAGGAGAACAAAGGTGTGGGTTTGAAAGAAGAGAGAAAACCTTTGTCAGGATTGATTTTGGGGGTGGGGAGTTTTGTACCTTTAATTTCGTACCTTATCTTGCCTCTGGCTACAGAGCTGTGAATGCACACGGCAGACCTCACAGTAAAGTTAATTCTTAGTAAGATGTTTGTGTGATACCTTCATAAAATTATTTTACCATTTCTGAAGCTTTAATATCCTTTACTCAGAAAAATCATCATTGTTCTGATGAAGACATTTTCTCATTGACATCTGTCTGCACTGCTGTCGTGCTCTTTGATGTACTTCAAGTATCTGAGGAAGAGAAGCAGTTTTCTCAATTAACAGCCTATGTTTCATAATGTGTTGAACTCATGGGAATTTGCATTTAAGGACAATTAAACCTCAGATCTGATGTTTAGGTAACCTGTGTTATACAAAATATATTGTCTGTTTGAAGTTTTCCCAAGTATGAATTTTCACAAGTTTGAGATAACAGAATTTAGACATAGTATTTCAAATTAAACACTTCCATTAGTTTTCAGCTTTCTTTAAAGGATACATCCAACATTTCCTTTTTGTCAGTACCAAGTTGGATGATGTCTTCTCTTCAATGTGCTCCAAAAGGTATTTTTATATATGTTTTTAGAAGGAAATTCAGTTTCTTACATGCAGCTGTTGGCATTTTAGAGCCATGGAATGAACCAATAAAAACACGTGTTCTTTTAAAGAACATCTATTTTTACTGGACCTTGCTAACAACTAGTGACACAGAATTCAAAAAATGTTGGCTCAAATGATTCGAAGGGCTGCATTGTTTTAAATTCTATTTTTAAAACTTTTCTTTACAGCAAGGTTACAGTAAAATTTCATATATTCCTGCTCTTATGAAAAGGAGTGCTTGCTTTTAGAATGTTATTTCAATATTTTAAAAGTATCTCAGGCATCAAAGTTGTAAAGTGTAAAATTTTATTAAGACATACACAGTGTTGCTGTTTCAGACTATTATTATAATGCTTTCACAAAGAAGGTAATTGGAGATTTTACTTCCTAGAGAGACAAGAATAAATCAGAATATCTTCTGTTAATACATTGTTTCCAACACGGTAAAACACTTAAGTGCAAAGGTCAAATTAGCTCACCATTTCTTTCAGTGATGTCCCGAATCAAATTCATGCAGTCTACTACTTGAAAATGCCCCAGATATTGGGTTGTTTTGGTTTTTTTTCAGATATCAGCTATCAAAGTAGAAATGAAGTGAAAGAGAAATTACAAAATGTTCCCAAATTTGATGTAAATACAATCATATCAAGGTTGACTTGATAGGGAGCTTTATCCATTTTATGTTACCTGTGTTGCATCTTTACTGTATTTTACTTGTTCTGTGTATCTGCTCTGTACACCAAGGTCTTCTCATGAAGTCCTGTAGCTAGATTTTGCTGTTAGCTTATTTTCACCTAACTTTTGGAAACAAGAGACTAGCATGGTTACAAATTCAAGTTTTAAAGGTAAATTGAGATTTTTAGTCTTTCAATAATATTTATTATTGTAAACTTGTGTTGTTGTCAAATTGTGGATTCCAAAACACTGTTTTGAAGAAGAATGTTGGCAAAGCAGAAAAACGAGTGTCCTGGTGATCATATAGGATGTATGCAGTGTCTGCAGTGGTAGATTGATGGTTTTATTAATGATGTTTAGATCATGTAAACTATAGAAAAAATGTTGCTAAAGGAAAAAAAATAAAAGTAATCTGAGTTTAGTTCTTCAATAGTTTTATTATCACCTTCATGTTTGCAAACACATAATTTTCATGCTGGACATGGAAAAAGAGTTACATCTGGGATTCTGTGATTAATGATAATGTGTGTGCGCGTGCGTGTGTGTGTGTGTGAGAGAGAGAGAGATAAACATAGATGCTAAATATCTCAAGTATGTGAAAATACTTCCAGTCAAATGTATCTTAATATTTTATCTGTATTTCCCTACCTATGGGAAAATGTCTTTTTTTCTTGCAATAAAAATGAAACTGTACATTAAGGAAGTTTACAACACATACTGAGAGATGTACTAGGCCACAAAAATTGACTGCCTTTAGAATAGGTAATCCTGTTAGAAATAAGCTCAGATTTCTAACAGAAGTAATGAAATATAACAACAGAGGGGTGAATGGAGTTTTTAATAGTACTTTTGGGCTGTTTAAAATGTATTGAAATAGAGGATTAGATAATTCTGGTTTATATACTATATTGAATACCTGATGAGCAGTATATTGTTAAGTCTTATTTTGTGTTTAAGGTTTGTATGTATTGGCATGTCTCAAGATTCTTTAGCATTCCTTATTTTAATTAGGCCTCATTTATCATTTTCTCAGTTCTGAAGCTTTCTGTTTCACCGTTTTCTTTTTTTAGAGTTTACATGAGCCAGGCTTCATTGTCCCATATACTGAATTGCTCAGGAGTAGGATGCGTATACATGGTGGGAAGCTCAGTTCTGTGTTGTCCACAGTCACTAAGACAGCACAAGAAACTGACATTTCCAGGTCTTTCATTTGAGACAGCAATGCTTACATGGGCATTATATCACCATTCTTACTCCTTTTTTGCTAGTGTTTCCAGAAAGTATGTATTAAAATATGTTTTATCAATTGTCTTCTGTTCCCACAGTCTATTAGCTTTGGATTTTGGTGACCATCTCCAAACCACTTCCTTGTAATACTTCATTGTAAAATGCTTCTCCTGGTACTCTACTTTTCCCTAGTTCTAACAGTTATTCCCATATGTCTTCTTGGTACCTCATCTGTTTTGTTTTCTTTTTTTTTTCTGTGAAACAGTTTTTTTGTAAGGCAAAGAACTGTCTGCAGACAACTAATTTCTCTTTCAAACCAGGGAACTGGGCAAGACAATTTAGAGTTAACCTAAAAAAAAGCAAAATATAACTTGGTTTACAGCTTGCAGATTTTTAATCATTAAAATAAATGCTCAGCAGACAGCAGTAAGTCTACAGGTATAGGCACACAGTAACAAGTGCTAATATTTTCATTTTTTGTCATTAAGTTTTTAAAGAAAACAATCTTAAAACTTCTTTCAATATGTTGTGTTGGAGAATGAGAGTAACCTTATAGTATGAAAAACAAAAGTCTAAAAATGTCATCTATATTTTCATATAAAAGGCTGGAACCTTGATTTGGGAGGAGGGTCTTTCATTTCAAAAAGCATGCATTCTTTCCTTTTTATCTACTTAATACATAAAAGCCAAAATCTAGCATGTATTGGTATAACCGGAGCAGATTCAATCCAGCACTCTGATAAATATCTTAGCTGATATATAGCTTTTTTGGCATACTATTGGACTGGGAAGAAACTGAATAAAGATACACATTTTAAAAATGTAGCTTTAGTACTGTCTGGGATTGTAACTTGCTTTTGTCTGATGCTTTCACTACTGCAGAAATGGTGATGGGGTTATTTACGTTAAGTCGTTTGGCTTGTTGAAAAAAAATATGCCCACACTCCTCTACTTAATGGGATTCTTTCCTCGTTGCAGTGCAAACGGCTGGAGCAGGAGCTTCATCATCTGAAAGAGCAGAACCAGACTTCAGCAAACAACACGAGACATATGACTGCTGAAAACAATCAAGAACGTGCTCTGAAGGTAAATCTCCATTTCTTCTTGCAGGCAAATTAAGGTTGTAAGCCCCTGGTGCCAGCTTTCTGGGCTGCATATATCAGTTGTGTACATTTCGGCAGAAGTGAGCTATGGTGTTTGCCAACAACTGCTTCTTTAAACACAGATACAGCACCCTTCTGTTATGGTTTTATTTTATTTTGCGTATGAAAGCAACAAGGAAAAAAAAAAATCATATCCTCCAAATTATTGGGCTAGTAATTAGCACTAAATTCTTGAGATCTGTCCTTGCAATATTGCATTGTATAAGGTGATGAAAACTGCAACTATTTGCCTCGTGGTACCTTTGGAAAACTAATATTTTAAAGCATGGCTGTTTGATCTGCTCCCAGCAGTGTGTGCTATATTAATAACATTGTTGACCGATACTACTAGTGACCACATAGTTGATACTACTATTTGCAAAAGGGTAGCTACTTGGAATTGGGAGGAGGAATAATAAGTCTTGTCAATAAGAATAAAAATGAGCAGAGAGGCAGGAGAGGGTCAGAGAAAGGACAGTGTAAAGTGACAGGTTATTGCTGCTTTGAGAAAGGGAAATTGTAATGTCAGTGGAATTGATAGCTACATACCCTGCAATCTCACCGCTAGCCAGGATAAGAGACTGTGCCAGGTAAGATGTGCACACCTCTTCAGCCACTTTATTCTTAAAAATCTCTTTTAATAGTGGGGATACAATACAAATACAGAAGTTACTCTGTTTATACTGTGCTGTCGTTTTAAAACTGTTTGATTTAGACAGTAAGATCCAAAGGTATCTCCTTTATAGATAGATAGATTATCCTCTGCCTCCTTTTTTTTTTTTTTTTTTTTAATTTTTTAATTTGGGAAACATCATTATACATACAACAACTTGACCTAAGAAAATTATAAGAATAAAAGTAAATCCTTGTGTATTTTGACATTTCTCAGTAAGAAAAATAATACATATAATAATAATAAAGGGAGAGAGGCTGTGTGCCACACAAATGCTGTATATTCCATGGGTTTATAATTGCCATCAAAATCTACGGTGAATGCTGCAAAATCATTTGAAATACTGAAAGCAGATGACTAGAAATGGAGATCATAAACATTCAGGGATGTTCTGACTGCAGTAACAGCATTGTTTTAAATCTGGAGTCACTAAAAGTTAGTGCTTCCCAGTCATGCTACTTACTGAACATAGTACTGTTTTTCATTAATTGCATGCTGGCTCATTTTTTTCTGTGTCATTGAAAATATTGTGCAGAGAGCCTTTCTGCTAGAAAAAAGTTTTATTTAAGCTACGCTTTTTGCATTTAATATTGTCTGACATAACGCTTAGAGAATAATTATATTTTCAGAGCAAGAAGTGATTTGATAGTTCAGAGCGTTACTAGGATTTCATTCTAAGCCTGATATTGCTCTCCCAGCACCTAATCTTTAAAGAATTTCATTTCTGACTGTCACAGGAATTTTTTTATTTTTCAAAGTTAAAGGTTAATTGATCATAGTCTCTTAGAGATGAGAGTCTGGGGAGGAAAAAAAAGACCACTTTTCAATTTTTTTAAAGTTGAACTTCTTTAATATTGTAACATGGTAGAGTTTGTCTCAGTTTATATTACTTTTGCCTACAGTGAGCACAGGTCCTTTGGAATATTTTTTAAAAGGCCAAGTTGTATTCTTGACCTTGAAAACTTTAAAATGCCCCAATGAAATATTGCCAATAGTAGTTAGCTTCGATATACAGCACATGAGCGTGCATCCTGACCTCATGTAAATGAAAAGCTTATCACCCACTTTTAGTGTAGCCACAGCCTGGAAAACTGATGTGTGGTAAGGATGAAAGTCATGTCAGTGACTCGCTCAGGAGTGGGTTTGGTCACAGGTGCCTGGGGCGCTGCTGCTGCTGTCAGGGGCACAGCTCCCAGAGAAACATCAGAGCTCTGTGACTGGTCACACACGTCCCCTGTGAAACCCTCGTGTTCCTGGCTGTCACCTCCTGCCTCCTGTATGCACAGGAGCTCTTGCAAGGCTGCATGCAGAGTGCATGCACAGACCCAAGCATCCCGTCTTGCCCCCTCTCCACTTCAGAGCACCCTCTGGACATCTGACCATTTTCAGAGAAATAGGACACATCATTTGTCTCTGTGGTACAGGGTAAATATCAACTCAACTTTTATTGTCACCATAATCCAAGGAATTACATTTATTTTAACCACCTCCACATGCAAGCTGGGGAACTGTGCTTTGCATGACAGGTATTATTAACCTGTCCAGCAGAAGGAGTCCAGGTATTTCTTCTGAGACTGTTCAGGACAGTTTGTATCAAGGTAGTTGTTTTTTTAAAGAAAACTGTAATTTTCCCTATTCTCTTACACTTAATTAATGTTGAGGCAATCTGTTTTTTCAGTTTGGCCAAAGATGTATCCTCAGGATGAGGAATTTGATCTGCTTTAGATTTTCTTAAGGGAGAAACAGAAGTGTAAACATCAGTTGTGGTGCAGGGATATTTGCAGTCTTAACTGGATAAAAATAAGGTAATCAGGATCAGCTAGATTAAGGATGGTGTGAAAGTTTGTGATAAAAGATGAGATCATTACCTCTGTGGGACGCTGAAACACACTTAAGAACAAAACCCAATGGCTACTTTGGTTCCTTTTTTACTTTTTAAAATCATCTCACAGTAGTGAGTTGCTTGGAAGGAAAAAAGTGTAAGACTAATCCACAAGAAATCTGTTTCATTCCACTGATGTTAGGGTCTATTAGGTAAAATGAGCTGCAAGGTTTCAGATTTAATTTTTGATATCTGAACTCACAGGGCTTCTGCCACCCTTCACTGAGAGAGTAGCCATCCATAGTCAGGAGTGAGGCAAGGAGGCAGGGAGACACATTATAACTATGGAAGATGGGTGGCAGCAATAATTTGGCTAGGTTCAGGATCTGGAAATCAAAAGGATGATATAAGCACTCCTTTTCAGATTTTTGGTTTTGCAGATTTAGATTCCATGTCACACCTGAGGATAATGTGAGAAATAAACTGTATCACACAGAAGGCATGCAGTGCACTTTGTAACATGCTATTTCATCTTACTGTGCCATATAACATCTTGGTAAGATAGCTCTTCTTAATGAATCTCTGCCTACATATTAGAGGTATGTGATTTAAATTTTCCATATTTAATGTATTTATTGCATAGAAAATTCCTTATAGTACTATGGGCCATCCAACCCCACAATGCCAAACTGGCACCCCTGTTATAATATTCTTATTGGTCATAGGGGATTGTATTAATTGACTGAAAAGGCCAATTTCAAATCTTCCCTCCAGGCAATGCCCACAGCTGCACAGAGGTCATGCAGAGAAGCATGTGGGCCCCTATTTCCATAGTTAAAGTAAAATAATCCTCTTCTTTGTGAAACCATTTTTTAAAATCTCTTATTATATTTCACATTGAATTATAGCTAAATCTTTTTGGGATAATTGCTTCCTAAGGGCCTATACATTTGCACTCTTAGTACATTTTCATAAAATAAGATCTGAGAGTGCTTTGCAGTTCTAATGTGGCAAGGTCTATATGTAAGATTATTCATTTTTGCTAATGTGGCAGGGTCTATATGCTTTGATTATTCATTTGCATAATTACCATTTGGTCTCTACTGATTCTGATAAATGTATTCTCATAATACACAGAAACAAGTGATTCAATTGAACATAGAAAAGTAAAGAATTGCTACTTTTTCATTATTTTTCAAATATACATTCATTTTCCTGTTGTTCGCTTTGCCGCGTGTAATATTCGAATTCAGAATTTTCACTAATACATTGTTTTCTAAAGAAAAGTAAAAATTTTGCCAGTGTACATGTCCTCTTTACTAGTTGAAGAGGAATAGGAAATAATTCTTGTGAAACCAATAACTTAATGCGAAATTTCATGGAAAATGTTTAACTGGATTTGACTGAAATAGAGATAGGAAACTTTTTTTCTTCTTTCCACAGGCCTTCTTCATTTTGTCATTTCTAATTATCTCAAAGCAGCTACTAATCTACTTTAAAGATTAGAAAGACATACTAATTTTATTCTCAAGGCAAACTTTTGAAAATAAGCCGACTATTTCATGGTGATATACAAATCAGGTGCCCTTTACTGACTGAATGAGGTTACTCCATCCAATTATGATGTCATCAGAACTTGTAAGGGTTATTAATCTCCTTCAGAGCTGTTGAGATGTTACATCTTTTGTTATGATTGGCTTTTTTGTGATGTATGCCTTTCTTTTTAGTTGTGATTTTTTTGTAGAATTTATCCCACATGTTTTCTTAGTTTTTTTAAGAATATAATAAATTTAGAGTTAGAGCCAAGAAAGTGACCTGAAGGAGCCATCAGAAGTTTGTCTACAGTAGTGTCATAAAGCAGCTGTGCCTGGGGTCATCTCTCTGCTTTCTGCTGACATGTAAGAATCAGGTCAAGGGCAGGAAATCCACAATGCACAGCAGTTTGGTAGTTATTCCCATGATGATACCTGGGAAGAAGCCACTCTGGAATACTTAATTTAAGTATTTCTTGATGCCTTTGAAAAATTGTAAGAAGTTCTTTTTGATTCCCAGAATTTCCCAGATTCTTAGAGTAAAAATCATTGTTTCATACCTGCCTGACAACATCAACCACAGAAACAAGTTCAGCTGACTGGTCAACCTGTCATCCATGAAGGGCATCATCACAAGACATTCTGTTATAAGAGCATAAAAAAATTTGCAAAAGTTTTAACATGAAGTATAAAATGTTTGCTACTGTTGAAAAGCACATGCTATTCATGCTATTGAGGCATACAATATTAACCATGGGGAAAAAAAGTCATTCTTTCAGATGATGTGGCCTTTATTTGCAAAAACTAAGTAATTCTAACTGGTGTTAGGTTTGGTGCTTCAGAGCTGAAGTTACATAAATTTAGAAGTTTAGAGCTGGTTTATGGCTATAAAGCCTCTGATTTCAACATGCTTTTGA